GCAATCACGCCAAGCCTGAGTTCTGCGTTATAGCAAGCAAGAGGAAAAAATTGGGAAACATCCTCAGTAAGGAGCAAGTACCATTGTGAAAATATGGGAAATAGTTCCTACAAAGTGAGAGAATTAATTTCATCAATCGAGTTTTGTTTTTAAGAAAATGTTCACACAAAAAACGGTTGGCTCCCAATGCAGTGTGGTCAACATTCAAAACCGTTATGAAGAACGAAGAAGTAACTACAGATAGACAATCCACAGTAAATGTAAATACTTGATGCTTCAGCCAACTACAATAGAGTATCTGAGTGTACACTATCATTAACAAAAAGTTTGAAGCCTTTAGAAATGTTTATAACTGAAACGTCGACAAAGGGGTCCACCGAATTTCAATCGAATAGCAGTTATAATCCGAGAAGCTGGATTGGTGGCAAAGAGCGCTTAAGGTTCCCCATCGTACCTCTGAAAAGTGTGATTACCAGGCCATGCAAACTCTCTCACCCCATAGAGCAGCTATTCCAAGTGTCCAACAAGGCGATTGTTACACGTCGAATTTAGAAGTCTACGCATCCAATAAAGATCACTGGTTCCTAGTTGAAGCGCGAGGTAATTTATGCACTAGCAATATAAGTGGAATGAAAATTTTGAAGCGATAGTCGATTTACCGCACAGCGTTGAGGCCAGAGATGGTTTGACTCAGTTGATCCTTCACCACGTCGTGTTCACGCACAGCTTCAAAAAAGGCTGGGGAACGCTCGGACACCTAAAAAATTTGGCACAAATGGACGGTAAAGAGAAGTATAAGTGGGTAAGGGCGAGTAGTAACAAAGGTGGAGGAATAATGGGAACTCGGGCTGAAAAAGGGATTGATAATCCATCACGAAAATAAGCCATCTTGGCGTTAAGTAGACAGGCTTTCATACAAGTGAAAAGAAAGCCATGATATGAGTAAGTAAGTCGTTTCATGATAGCATGAAAAAATATAAAGGATTCAAGTCCATTTAAAATGCAAATTATTGCAATTCCACATTATGACTGCAATCGGCAGAACGATGAAGAACGGTCAGGAGCGGGCCTCGTATCGAGAAACGATAAAAATAGATTGGTGTATAAGGGCAACAATACATAAGCAGATGGAAAATACGGGGGAAAAAGGATGAATAAATATGAAAACATCATTGCTCAAATCCGTTTTATGAGTGACGAAGGGGTCCCACTGATAAAAATAGTTTTTAGTTTTTTAAAATCCTATGGGTAGCACCAACAAGGCCTCAAGGGCATAAAAGTAGAGAGGTAAATTGACATGAAGATTAAGGACTGGGAAGGCGTACAGAAGTTGGTAGACAAGTAGGCAGAATGGAAAGTCGCCTAACTAGCAGAAATACGGAAATTTCCAAACAGAAAAGGCGAAAGTTGATAATAATAGGTGTAGGTAACGCACGTGATTAACAATGGCCAATTCGACAGCATCAAGGTATTGGGAAAGCTGATCGCTTTGTTGGGTAAAAACTCGGACAAGGTTTGGGCATACACCTCGCCGATACAGGGGAATGACTCTATTGAATGTCTCCGGAGAAGATAAATCGAAATCCGGTGAGCAGTAGACTTTAGCTTCCTCCAACTCCAAGGGATCTATTCAAGGAATAACTATGTTAGGTGTGCAAGTTTCGATACAGCCGCGGTTATCAGGTTATTGGTGAGTTCTGCCACAATCTCTATGTGTTTGCGTGAAACGATAATTAACATATGACAATGGATCCAGAAATTTCTACAGGATCAAGAAAAAAGGGTAGGGCATATCCGTAGAGATGTGCGAATACGAAACGAAACTTTTAGACAAAACTTGACTCACTTGGCTGAGAGGAGAGCAGCTTCGCGGGAGGATGTGGGGAAGTTACAAAACTCTTTCGCTTGCTTAGCAGATTGAGATAAGGGAGGAACTCATCTCTATTAATAATAGGGAATCGTGTGGATGGTATAGGTTCACGCTCGAATGTATCACCCCAGTAACGGGAGAATATGTCCAGCTGAAGGTAAAAATCAAGATAATGGAAGTGATTCAAATTAAACTGCAAGTAAAGCCCATAAACTAAGGACGAAAAGAGGTAGAGAGTATTTTGGCAAAAAAAGGAGGAAACAGATATACCTGACGATCCGAGGGATCGTTGAGAACGGCTGCCATGTTAACAACGGATTCATGCTGCATCCACGCATATTTCGCTAAAATAAACCACAGCATGAATAGAAAGGTGCTTCCGACCTAAATGTAGAACCACCACACACTTACGTGAACTAAGAACACTTGGTTTTCTAAATCGCGACGGAACCAAAGATTTCCCGCTACCAATAATGTGTCTGGTAACAAGATGGCGCTCATAATCGTACTCAGAATCGAAAGTCGCTGGTTTCTTTGACTGAGAATTAAAGGCATCAGCGCTGCTGCATAACCCTGAGGGACCATATCTATAAAAAGCAATTGTACATAAGAACATTAACTTTTGTAAAATGACTCAGCTTTACTTAAATGAGCCGTCTCTCACAAACTCAATGTACAAAACTCAAACATTAACTTCACATACGTGCAAACGAAAACTGTACGACCATGTTCGACTCTTTTCAACAGGTGATGATGCATTATGTGCTGTACCAGATCCTCCTGTGATGCAAACTTTTGCATCATCGGCTCTCCAGCATTCTTGCATTTAGAATTCTGATCATAACAGAATTCACATTCCCAGGTCCTATCCGTTTTGGCCATTGAAAGAACGACAAAAAGGAGATTACACCAGAACCATTCTGCACACGCAGTAGCAAACACAGCGCACACCAGAGCACAACTAGGTCAAGCCATGGCCATTGACCACTTGGGAAGGAAAAATGCTACTTTTGTGTTTTCACTTCAAATTATACTAATTAGGATCATCAGGCTTATTGAATACTGAGTTTCAGCATTGTTTTGATAATTTGTAGCTAAATAATTATGGTGCATATGACCTGTTTCATTTGCAGATGGTTTGATTTGGATGATTGTAGAAGGGTGGAAGTACAAAGACAGATATTTCATATTTGCCCAATTTTAAGCCAACTGGTCTCTTAAATGATAAAAAAGTTGTCTTAAGAACTGCTCATGAATGGGCGAAAGTATTAAGCTTCAGTGGCACGTATCTAGTAAAATGGGGAGAATGAGGCTTTGGGACTCTTAACAAGGGCGTAAGGTCTACTTAATTGACCATAACCAATACCCGAGATCAATGCTACCGTGATATTTTGTTGAATACGGAGAGTTTTTGCTAAATCAGAGGCTATCTCTGTAGCGTTCTGAGACTTCCCACAGGGTGGAAGAAGGCAGTAAGTGAAACAGGATACATGTATTCCAAAGAGGACAAAGCACCTGGGTCCGTGCGTGGCCCGAAGGCCAGTTCACGGGTACAAGTGTCAGACACATCCTAAAGTGAGCGCCGAACTTCAGATAATTTCATAAACAAAGCATTACAATCACGATGGGCTATCGCACTAATTGCGGAAGGCATTAGGCATGTCTAAATGTTTCTGGTTAAAGAGAGAGAGTGGAGGCAATGCTATAAAGCCCCAAGGCCTCCCACTAAATAGAAGAAGGCATTAGCTTCGGTTGAATGTGTGCATACTGAGAGGGGAAGAAGGGATATGTTTGACAACGACGACTGAAGCACCGCACTTTACTGTTGTCAATGAAGCCAACTCTTAAAATCAGTGGAACTCTCCGAACACCACTCAGGTTCATTACTTCGCTACAGAGCCCTGACATCTATGAATGACCCGTATTTACTGCATATTATATGCTTAAATGAATCTTACAGGTATGAAGAAGCTGAGGAATTTAATATAAACGCTGCGCTCGGAGAATC